TTGGCATCATATTAGCTATCCTCTAGTCATTTGGTACAGAAGCAGATTTAAATGATAGGTTACAGACTACAGTTAATAGTTCTGCAATTTCACATTTGAGTTCCTTCAGAACTCTTGGGTGAATACCATCTGGTCCTGGTGACTTATTACTGTTTATCAATTTGTTCCAAAACCTCCTCTAATGACACCTCAATCTGGGACAGTTCCTCAGATTTGTCACCTAAAAAAAAATGGCTCAGGTTTGGGAATCTCCCTCACATATTCAACTATGAAGACTGATGCAAAAAATTCATTTAGTATCTCTGCAATGGCCTTATCGTCCTTGAGTGCTCCTTTAGCATCTTGATCGTCCAGTGGCTCCACTGGTTGTTTAGCAGGCTTCCTGCTTCTGATGTACTTAAATATGTTTTTGGTATTACTTTTTGAGTCTTTGGCTAGCTGTACTTCAAATTCTTTTTTGGCCTTCCTAATTATATTTTTATACTTCATTTGCCAGAGTTTATACTCCTTTCTATTTTCCTCATTAGGATTTAACTTCTACTTTTTAAAGGATGCCTTTTTGCCGCTCACTGCTTCTTTTACTTTGTTGTTTAGCCACAGTGGCTCTTTTTTGATTCTCTTACTATGTTTTTTAATTTGGGGTGTACATTTAGGTCGAGACTCTATTATGGCATCTTTCCATGCAGCTTGCAGGGATTTCACTTTTGGCGCTGTACCTTTTAACTTCCGTTTCCCTAACCTCATTTTTGTGTCGTTCCCCTTTCTGAAATTAAATGCTACAGTGTTGGGCTGCTGTGGTGTTTTCCCCACCATAGGGATGTTAAATTTAATTATATTATGGTCACTATTATCAAGCGGTCCAACTATATTCACTTCTTGGACCTGATCCTGTGCTCCACTTAAGACTAAATCAAGAATTGCCTCTCCTGTTGTGGGTTCCAGGACTGGCTGCTCCAAGAAGCAGTCATTTAACTAAGAGCTGTGCAAAATGTTCCCAGTGAAAACAAAGATTGTTGCAAAAATTCCCATATTTAGCTCAATGGCTGAGACAGCACCTCGTCAGTGCCGTATAAGACTCCAATCTTTGCAGCTCTTCCTGTCCTCCCTGTCCCTAAAACCTCATTTGTATATGGTGAGAGTAGAACCCTGCCCTTTTGGGACCAGGTGGAGAGGCTCCTGCTGTACTTCTGACTAGTGCTGAATCACACTGAATAGCATATCTCAGAAGCCTGTTGGTTTCAATGACTTTATTTGATTTCTGCTTTGTTTTAATAAGCAATTGATGAATCCTAATTGTGGTAAAGAAGCCTGTCCACAACATAAAAGCCATCACCACAATCAAAACTTAGTGAGGCAAAGAATTCAATAAATTACAGAAACTGAAGCTACCTTTTCTGCGCTACAGATTGTTCACTGTAGGAGGGGGTTGAGGCCGACATGAGGTAAATAATTAAGAGGCGGATCTGTCAATAATCTATTAAAAATAGTACACAATTAATTGAATACTATGTTTTGCAAATATATTGCCTGAATTATCAGTAAAAACAATGAGGAATCCTTGTGGCACCTTAGAAGGCAACTCCCATCTTTTCATGTGCTGTATTTTTATACCTGCCTACTGTATTTTCCACTCCATGCATCTGATGAAATGGGTTATAGCCCACGAAAGCTTATGCCCAAATAAATTTGTTAGTCTCTAAGATGCCACTGGACTCCTCGTTGTTTTTGCTGATACAGACTAACACGGCTACCACTCTGAAACCTAAATTATCAGTGTGGCTGTATGTAACTGGGAAAATCATCTAAAAACATTCAGTGAATAACTGGACAAATATTGTGAAATGTAATGAATAAATTATTTGAGAAATATTATTTGACCAGCTGTAGTTGATCACAGTGGTGGCATTGTGGCAGCTGTGTAAGATCAGGATTTGAATCAGGAATAAGTATTTTTTTCTGTCAACTTTTTGCTTGTAGTCATGAGATCATAGATTCATAGATTCCAAGGCCAGAAGGGAACACTGTGATCATCTAGTCTGGCCTTCTGTATATCACTGAAGGCCATAGAACTTCCCCAAAATAATTCTTAGAGTAGATCTTTTAGAAAAAACATCCAATCTTGATTTAAAAACTGTCAGTGATGGAGAATACACCATGACCCTTGGTAAATTGTTCCAATGGTTAATTTCCTTACTGTTAAAAAATTGTACCTTATTTCCAGTTTGAATTGCTCTAGCTTCAATTTCCAGTCACTGGATCGTGTTACACCTTTCTCTGCTAGATTGAAGAGCCCATTATGAAATATTTTTTCTCCATGTAGGTACTTAGAGACTGTAATCAAGTCACCCCTTAGCCTTCTTTCTCTTCGTTCAACTAAATTGATTGAGCTCTTTCAGTCTATCACTATAAGGCACGTTTTCTAATCCTTTAATCATTCTTGTGGCTTTCTGAAACCCTCTCAACATCTTTCTTGAATTGTAGGCACCAGAACTAGACACAGTATTCCACCAGTGCCAAATACAGAGGCAAAATAACCTCTCTACTCCTACTTGAGATTTCCCTGTTTATGCATCTCAGGATCGCGCTAGGTCTTTTGGCCACTGTTACTGTGGGAACCCATGTTCAGCTAAGAAAACATGGGTAAGTAGTAGATACCACACTAAACCACAGACCAGAAATTCTATATTCTCTGAAGGTCAGTAAATCTAGGGTCTGATCTAGTCCTTGTTGAAGTTAAATGAGAGTGTCTCCATTGACTACAATCAATGTTAGATTGCACCTCTAGTTTTCAGTTACCTAATGGGAGACTTTATTTTTTAAATGTATATATGTGAAATATTTGTTGAAATCTGTGCAGAATCTTTCTGTGTCCTGCTTCACTTTACTGTCAAAAGAAAAAAAATTGTGTTTCCAATTGTCCACTTGATTAAACCAGTTCTCATTAAAAAATGTACATCTGTCCTTCATGTCCATGTCTGATTTTCAGGAGTTTATATTAATCCATGCAAAGCATATGGAGGATTCAAGTGAAATGGGCTATTAGGTTCTGGCAGTTATTTAAAGTTTAATTACTTGCTAGAAACTCACTCCTAAAAAAATAGTAATACACTTGAATTAAAAAATAATTTTGGTATAGTGTTTGGCAATCAAAGGAGATCTAGAGTTAAACTATATTAGCTCACCCACCTTATCTTTCAAATATCCTGCGACCAACTCGGCTACAAAAACACTGCATTCAAACTTACCATAGTTAACTTTGTGCCCCCTCCCCCGACCCCCATAAGAAGTGCAGATCGCAGCATATTCATTTGCCAATGAATTAAAAATGTGAAAGGCTGTCTTTAAGCAGTGTGAGTTTTGATCCCTTAATCTAGCTAACATTTTATATTTCAAAGTCACTCCATGCAAAATACTTTCATTTCTATGGATGGACTTTTAGATTTAATTTCTGCAGTGAATATTCTCTTTATAACACACACAGAAAAACAGGATATTTTGCATAATCTCCTTAGTTTGATCAAGGCATTTTTAGATTACATAAAGTAAAATATAAGAAAACAAGGCAGATGGCTAGCCTCCCTTTGATTGAAAATTCCTGCAAGATATTTCCTTTTGATCATGTTACATTTTATTTTAATTTTTTGGATGTGATTTGAAAATCAGAATTACATGCTGCCTCTGATGTGACATTTGAGGGTCTGCTTTCTGTTTACTTACTTTCCACTATGTATATTCTGCACCTAAATGGCTGCTTTATAAAATGTAACATCCTTTTAATTAAACATGTCAGGAGCACAAGTATATTATATGCACATCATAGTGGGCCTAGTTTTGAATATAAAACAAACCTACTGAAACATGTAACATCACTACATGATGTGACTTAGTAATTGGAGATCCACTTGTGCTGAAAATGTGTAGTACTGCACACTGATTTTCAGCTGGGAAAACTGTTATCAAATCAATGCATGAGGTATTCTTCACAAATGAATAATGTTGTGAACAAGGACATATCAGACACCTGCAGTGTACAAAGTTTTTCTACCATTCATGAACTAAACGCAAAAGCAAACGGAATGAGCTTTCCAGCTATCTTTTTATGTCCACTAGTGAAGTCCTCTGCCTGCTTTGATATAGTGCCAAGTTTCCCCCAAAATGTGCCTAATCAAAAGCCCCCTGAAGTCAATAAAAGTCTTTCCACTGACTTCAGATCAGGTACAATCTGACTCTCCTTGTCTTGATACCCAAGAAATTATGGTGGGTGAGTGGAGTATACAGACAGAAATCCCCCAGGTCTGCACAGGACAATCTTCATAGTCTGTCAATACTTCAGTCATTTGCAGGGCTTGATGCTGAATGGTGTGAGCTGGCCTGGTCAGCAAAAGCCAGAGCTCTGCAACTTAGCAGTGCATATTGCTACTTAAACTGTCTTGGCAAATTCATTTTTCAAGTGAAATGCCACAAAGAAACTGCCTACTACTGCATTTATTCCCTAAACAGACTGATTAAAACATAAGCCCGTGATAAAACAACAGTGTGTACTCAAGGGGAGTACAGTTATTGTTCTGTAAATGAAAAGTGCCCCTTTTATTTACAAAGGCAACTGATATTTTAATTTCACAAAAGGGACCTGTGCAAAGGTTTCCTTATAAAGCTGAGTACCAAAAAACATAATCAAATTTCCACAGAGAAGCTGCTATTGGTTTCCCTCTCTTGCATAACATACTTCACTAGCACAAACTTGTCTCTGTCTACCACATGAGCAGAATGTCATACCAAATGGTGCTACAGAACAATCAAGTCCCTGTGGAGTTTTTTTAATGTCCATAAGCATTATTATTACAAATACCAGATGAATTCATGATGAGGATAAGTACACTGCAGTTTCACAGTGAATGGGCACTGGGATTCATGCAGTGATGCTTGGCTTCTTTTCTGCTGCCCATGAAATACGTCAAAGAACCAGAAACCCCCACAAAAAAATAGAATGAGATAATTACCTAACATGATGAAGGGAATTCCCAGGAAGGTGGAATTGTATTTCCCACCAGTCAGATTGATGATTCCAGCTGCAGTCAGAGTGGCTAAGCTCACCGTTAACAACCCTAAAAGGCCAAGCCAAGGTTTGCTGCGGACACAATCCTGCATAGAACAGCAGAGTATGGCCAAAGTGACCACAAGGACCAGGCCTGTGGTCAGGTAACGTTCTGACACCCTGCTCGTCTTCTGGAAATCCTCCCTCAGCGAAGACGAAGTGAAGGGATACATTTTGACTTTCCTGTTGGATTTCTGAAAAAGTTCGACAGTGTCACAAAAGATGGATTCCCACTTTTCTGCTACCATGTCATTCAGAGAGTTGATCGCCTGCAAGTAGTAGGTGAGCTGGATGGCTTCTGCAGACTTCACCCGATCTTTGCTGTGCACGGTAACCCCGCCAAGCTGGTGCCCGTTATACACTTCCCTGCCATCCTTTAAGTGAGTGATTGGATATGTGATAACAAAATTAGTTCGATTAGAAGATCGAGCAGACTTTAGCTCCTCCAGTACATGCACTATGTCATCCACTATGCAAGTCTTGTCATTATTCAGGATACATATATGGGCAAATGTGTAATTGAAACCAGGTCTTTGTACTTGGATCCTGGTCACAGCTGAGTGTAACTGTAAGGGGGAGAAAAATCACACACATTATTCATCAGTTAATTGTGCACCATAGCAGGTAGAATGACAGCAGCTTTGTCATCTCAGTCCATTTCCTATTTAATCTCGGCAAAAAAACCATTTCTAATTGCTACAGTATTAATAGTAAGCACATTATAAAAATGCAAAACATGCATTAAAGTACTGATATTTCCCCCCAATGTCCTTTACTCATAACTCAATTCTGTTTTGACTTCTATAAATGCTAGGTGCACCTACTGTTCACCCTCTCCCAAAACAAAATATCATTCCAATAAACCAGAATGCTTCATTTCCAAGTGAAGCAAAAGGGACAGCTACAGACCAACCACATTATGGCAATGTAATAATAATCAGGTTTGCTAAATGACCACTGCATCAGACAACTATCAGGAATGCGGTACAGAAAAGCAAGATGACGGGCCGTTTCAATGTGCCACTCGGGTGAGGTGTAGTAGGCCCAGTTGATTGGTAGTGGGAGGTTTGACCCTTTCTCAGGACAAAGGAAAGATCACAGCTGCATGTCCTAAGTGCCAGGATGGTCAGGATAGCATGACCAAGCTATCTGGCATTAATTAAATAGTAGTCCTATCCACCCAAACTACAGCAAAGAGTTGAGATGATAAGGGAGGCTAAAAACAGAAGTTAGAGCCTCCTGGAAGAACATATTAGCTGGCAAAACATTTTATTTTAGGAGTTGCTGGTTGGGGCCTGCTATCATTACAGTTGTATCCCAGCTCCTTTTCAGAGGTGCTTGTATCCTTCTGAAGCGTACTGTTTAGGCTGAAAGTTTCCATGGTTAATCTCTGACCAAAAGTGAATTGTTCTAGAAAATGTGAGCAAAAAAGGCTGTTATTTTTGAAAGAGGAAATGAGTGGAAAAATTGCACTGTCCCCATGGGAAAAATAAAATCAAATCTTGTGTCTTCTTTTGAACCAGCTTCCAGCTAAAACAGGTGGAGTTAGAAGGTTGAAATTTGGTACGGGAATAGCCTTAAGTATAGTGAAGGCCCATTCAGTATTCTGGTGAAAAAATGTTTTAACTTGGCCGTGTTAGGACGCTTTGCAAACTATATTGTTTATTTTGCGTATGGTTCCCTGATAAGCTTATAGAGCCAGGTCCTCAGCACCAGTTAAGTCCTCTTTGTGCTGCTGTAGTGGTGTAAAGGTACTTAAACCTGCCTTAAGGAGGCAAGATTCCATGAAAAGCCAGCCGTACGATAGCCACTCTTTACTCAGGGTATGGGAGTGGCTTGGGCTAGAATGTCATATACTCTGACAATCCTGGCTGACAGACCAACTCCTTGAGGGCCATCATCGGCTGGTGCAAGTTAGAAAAGTGCTGAGGCTGCTCTAACTTGCACCAGGAGCTGGCTTGGCCTTTGGCAGCTGCCAAAATCAGACAGGTAGAAAGGTGTCCTTCCCTTCCTCTCCTGGTGCACTGCTCTGGCTCACTGGGGATCTAGCTCAAAGTGCTACACTCCATAGGCCCCTGAATTACTCTGAAATGATCAAACATGGAATCTGGTCAAAGGGACCCATTGGCTTCTTGAAGTGTAGGGTAGTAAACATGGGGCTGGGAGCCAAAATATCTCAAGTTCAATTTCCATCCCTTTTTCTGACTGGTTTTAATAATTCAATATACTTCCCAATCCCTGTTTTGTGAAGGGTCACAACACTCCTTGCATGAGGCCAACAATATCTTTATTGACATTTTTCAGATGGGTTAATCGAGGCACAAAGCTGACTTAACTTGACCAGGATCACTTGGTGTGTGGCAGAGTTGTGAACAGAACCAGATTATAGATCCATGTCTCATTCACTCGAGTACAGTTCCTCTCAGAAAAAAAGGATCCAGTCTTGTGTGGGTATAGCCTATAAAAGCTGTCTACTCATGCTTGCTTGACCACATTTGCCATTTTTGAGATCTATAGATGGGAAAGCCCTCTGTAGGTGCAAAGTGTTCTCATTAGGTCAACTTTAAAGACAGGAAAACTGACAAATGGAAAAGTTCAATGACTTGCTTGTAAGGTGTAGGGGTTTGGCAGTAAATCAAAAGATCTTGGTTCTCATGATTCTTTGGTGTTGGGAAAGTCTCTTGTTTCCTCCTCTGTAGAGCAGGGATATTAACACATATTTACTGATGAGTTGAGAGATTGAATTAGAAATGTCTCTAATTTTTTTAAATGACGAGTAATTATAATCTGACCTGCTGCTTGGCAGGACAGAAAGCACTGTCCTGGGGAAGAAAAACATCCCTTCCTCTTTATATTAGATGTGCTGCTATCTGCGGAATCCCGAGGGAGTGGGAGATTCTCAGTTTATACAGACACTGAAGGGACTGAATTGAGGCAATATTTAGCACACGTTTTCTGTAGAAGAAAAACTGTGATTGAAAAAGAAAATGAGAGAAGGTACCCACAATAACCATGGAGCTTGCAGACTCTGGTGGTGGAGATGGATTAGTTGTCTAAACACCGTGGGTGAAATCCTGGCTCTCTGGAAGTCACTGGAAGCCCTGGACTTCAGGGTAGCCAGAATTTCACCATATCTGTAGAAAAATGCACATATCATGTATTATTTATTTTACCAGCAATCTGATTATCTTGTAATTATCTTACATAGTCCACTACCGGGATAAATCTAGTTGAAATTGTCTGCGATTCTTATGATGATATAAACAATATGTGTAAGAAGATACAAAATTCCTGCCCATTGAACTTGTTTGTCTTGCAATTATGTGGCTTGTTTCACTTGCATTTGAGTAGCTTTAATTTTCTGTAAAATTATAGAGCAATATTGACAATGTGAAGCTAGGTTGGGAAAAGGAAATGAACCAACAAACCTCTCCAGAGGATTGGAAGGATATAATGTTAACCAGAGTGAGCAGGCTAAGTTCTCCCTCATGGAGAGATTACAAATAGGAATTTGTGATTAAAGATTTTTGCACATCAGTCCTGCAAAACAAAATAGAAGTCTTCACAGGAGGGAATGTCTTCTGAGACTGTCCCAAGTTGAAAGGCTTCTGCTCTGTTAGAAAACTAATGCAACAGTTATTTCAGGGATATATCCCTCAACTTCATGTTGTTATGGTGTTAGGGAAGTGTTTTGATTTACTGAAATCAAATGTAGATATCTGTTTAGAGTTTTTGTGGTAGCAGCCAGTAAATATATTTCATCAACTATGTTTGTAAAAACAAATGCCATTTATAGAAGTGTAGCTGACAAGAATAAAAGATTTTTAAAAATTGAATTATTTGCTGCCTGCATTAGATTAGCAACAGATATCTTTGCAAAAGGATGCACAGAGTAGGATGCTGCAATTTAACCCCCCAAACAATGATATAACTTTTAAAATAATATATATTATATATAATTTAAAATAATGTTATTTACGCTCTGTATCTACTTACCTATTTTGCCTCAACTCTGCTGAATTTCCTTTTCTTGTATGTCTGAAACCTTCTGTTATTTAGGTTAGAAAATAATTTGTACTGCCAACAATTCTGTTTATCTTTACTAAAAAGCTAGTAGCTAAACATGGTATTTGAAATACTCATGCTCCCTGGAGGCCATCATTTCTGATTCAGAGACCAGATCATATCATGTAGTATGGTCTTTTCTCTGCTGTACTGGCAGAGCAAATGGGCTATAATGCTGACTTAGCCAGACAGATGGGATAGGAGAAGGCTCAAGTAACCTGGAGATGGCTATTGGTCTTCCCCACTCTGCCAGCATAGGGAACGTGCCAGGGATGCATCAGGGAAGGAAGGGGAGCAACCAGAGTGCACTGTGCTCTGGCAATCCCTGGATAGTATAATGGTCCTTGAAGGTTGTTACAAGATGGTGCAATTTAGAGCAGCGCTGAGGCTGCTCTAAATTGTGCCAAGAGCCAAATTGGCCCCTACCTGGCCTAGAATCAGAGATGGGTGAAAAAGTGGTGTAAAACCACCTTTCCCTTCATATCCTCCCCACCCCCTACATGCACTGAGCACTGTTTCAGCCATAAAGAAGGTTGACTCACACCTTCAGCCTGGAAGCAGATACATTCAGTACCCTGCAGTTTACTATGTGCTGTTTTCAGAACAGATCTTAGAAACTAAACCACTCTTGCTTGTGTGTGAATACTAAGGAACACTTGGGAAGAGTATGGTTTAGTGCAGCAGCATCCTAGAATATCTCCCTCTCCACACTGATCCACCAGCCTGTGTGTCAGTTGGCTGCTGCCCTCTTCCCCAGAGACAGTTGTAGTTCCATGGCTCTCCTTATATAAAGGCATTTTAGGAACCTGATTGTTAGATTTGCATTGAATTTTTCATTTAGAGCAGAAATCCAACCTCTTTGTTTCGTAGGATATAGAATATGTAAAGTGCTTTGTGCTGAAAGGTGCTATTAATTTAAATGATTACACTATACACAACTTCATTTGAACACGGTATATTATGACATCCCTTTGGAAAAGTGTTTAGTTTAGCGAATAGTAGTGACTACTGTTTAACTGGGACAGCATTAGCATAAATTTAGACATTGCAAAGTAGTTTAATGGTGAGTAATAAGGATTTAAAAAGATGTGACATTCGAAGCTCGGACTAAGGACGGGTCAGACAGTCTTATTTATTCCTAATCAGTTTTCCCATCCCTAATTGTCTAATACCTAGAAAGGGAGAACAGAAGTAATATGAATATAATCCGCACAAATATTTTTTATCCGAGATCCTCAAAGGGCAAGTAGTGCTGGTTCGTCATGGCGTACAGGTTTCTCAATTAACTAACAGTGTAACTTTAGAACCCAGTATATAGCTGGTGCAGGAAAGCACTGTGCATGAGAATTGTATAGTATCACTTCAGCCATGATCGCATGCTGATTTTGCTCTTGTACCTGAAAGTGCACCTGTCACAAATTAAATAATAATTGACACCCTTCTAGTCTTCTTGTTTAGAGGGACATTGTCAACTGAAATTCACATTCCCAGTCCCCCCACA